AAAACAAAAATTTTTTCAAAAATCTTATCGTATATAGAGAAACGATAGCTCATATGAAAGTACATTTTTAGCTGATAATAAAAATGTTGAACCGAGTTAATATAATTCCATTACCCCAAAGTTATAATCCCTCGAAGAAAATCCCAAAATAAATTAAATTTATTATTAAAATATTGGGATAAAACAAAAATTTTTTCAAAAATCTTATCGTATATAGAGAAACGATAGCTCATATGAAAGTACATTTTTAGCTGATAATAAAAATGTTGAACCGAGTTAATATAATTCCATTACCCCAAAGTTATAATCCCTCGAAGAAAATCCCAAAATAAATTAAATTTATTATTAAAATATTGGGATAAAACAAAAATTTTTTCAAAAATCTTATCGTATATAGAGAAACGATAGCTCATATGAAAGTACATTTTTAGCTGATAATAAAAATGTTGAACCGAGTTAATATACTTCCATTGCCCCAAGGTTATAATCCCTCGAAGAAAATCCCAAAATAAATTAAATTTATTATTAAAATATTGGGATAAAACAAAAATTTTTTCAAAAATCTTATCGTATATAGAGAAACGATAGCTCATATGAAAGTACATTTTTAGCTGATAATAAAAATGTTGAACCGAGTTAATATACTTCCATTGCCCCAAGGTTATAATCCCTCGAAGAAAATCCCAAAATAAATTAAATTTATTATTAAAATATTGGGATAAAACAAAAATTTTTTCAAAAATCTTATCGTATATAGAGAAACGATAGCTCATATGAAAGTACATTTTTAGCTGATAATAAAAATGTTGAACCGAGTTAATATACTTCCATTGCCCCAAGGTTATAATCCCTCGAAGAAAATCCCAAAATAAATTAAATTTATTTTTAAAATATTGGGATAAAACAAAAATTTTTTCAAAAATCTTATCGTATATAGAGAAACGATAGCTCATATGAAAGTACATTTTTAGCTGATAATAAAAATGTTGAACCGAGTTAATATACTTCCATTGCCCCAAGGTTATAATCCCTCGAAGAAAATCCCAAAATAAATTAAATTTATTATTAAAATATTGGGATAAAACAAAAATTTTTTCAAAAATCTTATCGTATATAGAGAAACGATAGCTCATATGAAAGTACATTTTTAGCTGATAATAAAAATGTTGAACCGAGTTAATATACTTCCATTGCCCCAAGGTTATAATCCCTCGAAGAAAATCCCAAAATAAATTAAATTTATTATTAAAATATTGGGATAAAACAAAAATTTTTTCAAAAATCTTATCGTATATAGAGAAACGATAGCTCATATGAAAGTACATTTTTAGCTGATAATAAAAATGTTGAACCGAGTTAATATACTTCCATTGCCACTACAATATTACCCCTATTAAATTATTGATTGATTAGATCAAGAGGGCTCTGAAGAGACCGATTATTGGGCGAGAGAAGTCAGAGAAAAAAATTTTTTCTCTGCCCAAAGAACTGGTCTCTGCAGGCCCTCTTGTTCTAATCAATCAATAATTTGCAAACCCAATCCTTTTGGGCGTTGCGGGGTTTGAATGGAGTAGTTCGTGGAATAAGTAAAGTTCATCAGAAGGCGCTTCTGGGTGCTTTAAAATGTATCAAACGAAACCTGAAGCGGGGGCCGAGTCGAGTCGGGCCGGCGGTCAATCAATCGATAATTTATTTTGCTCTAATCGATCAATAATTTGTAAACCCAAGCCTATAGGAGGATGCGGGGTTTGAATTGAGTAGGACGGGGGATAAGTAAAGTGAGGGCGATTCTGATGTCGATTCTAAAGGTGATTCTGATGTCGATTCTGAAGGTGATTCTGAGAGCGATTCTGGGCACAAAACCGACCACACTCAAATTTCTACACTAAAACCTTGTTCTCAAACGGCCACACTAACAGGTTCGCCCTCTAATACTCGCTATGAATTGCCTGCTTTAAACTGGTCACGTTCGCACTCAAACGACTCGCACTAAATTGTTCGCACCCTAGCGAGTTACACGAACTAATCCCAATAATGGCCGCCACTTTATTGATTTTGCGGCATTATATTCTTTTTTCTCACTTTCTTTGCTAACAACTACATTATCAAACTCTAACCTTTTTATTAATTTTTTTCACTATTTTTGTCATAAAAATAGTATAAAAATTTTTTTACTTCTTTTAAATTTTAATTTTTTATATTAAATAATTTTTTTATTATAGGGTATACCTATAACCTAAATTTTTGGATTTGATGTTGACTTGAACATCATTAAATAATTCAAGGTTAATTTATTAATATTTTACAAATAATTATCTTTTTTAATTTTAGTAGCTGTGTGGAATGGTTAGAGAACAAGGATTTACTTGTGGGATAGAACGTCTTGTAATTAAATTATAAAAAAGTATTTTTTTAAATTGTTTTTAGATGAAATTGCCTCTGGGCTTTTAGGTTGTAATATGTGGGGAAAAATTACGGGGAAGATAATTGGTAATTATTAGAGAGCTACGATGTGTTTTTGTAAATAAAAACATTTAAAATAATTTATTCAGAACCTCGATCAGAATTTTGCCAAAAACGTCCATTTTGTTCTTCTCTCGATTATTTCCCTGTCTGTCCATCAACTCGTGTTAATTCAAGTGAAGAAAATTTAAAAATATTTTGGAGAAAATTAAATCCCCAAATTTGTATTGATAATGGAATTTTAAATACTTTACCTAATAAAAAAGAAAAATGTTTGCCTTGTGGGCCTGAAATGGAAAGAAATAATTCTGGTTATTGTGAAAATTGTCCTAAAGGATCTATTTCTTCTGGAGAAGGTAAATGTGTTCCTTGTCCTTCTGGATTAATTCCAAATTATGGAATATTTTTAACAAATTGGGATTCCCTTCCTTCAGAAATTGAATGTAAAAAAAGAATGTGATTTTCTTTCAGCAGGTATTTAAAAAAAGATTTTTGAAAATTAAAAATTTTCTTTTAAAAGAACTTCCAAATGAATGTCCAGTTAATCCTTCTTGGATATCTTATGGAAATAGATTGGAAAGTGCTACGACTAGAATGAAGGGTGTTGCTTTGGAAATTAATAGTAAATTTAAATAAATTTAAAATTAAAATATTTCCTTTTTAGTTAAATTTAAAGATGGATTTTCTTCCCCTTTACATACAGGAAAAATAACTAATGAAAATCCTTTGGGTAAAATATCAATAGAAGTTTCTCTTCAATGTAAAGGAAAATGTCAATTTTATATTGTTCAGGTGTTAATTATTTTAAATTAAAATTGTCTATAGGGTTCTCACTTTCCAAAAATTAAATATTATTTTTTAAATTTTCTAAGAAAATAGAAAAAGAAAATTCCCAACAATTTATTTTTCCTGAAAAAGAAGAAAATCTTCAATTATTAAAAATGTTAACTGGAAGTTTTACAAATAATTTACTTGTATTACCAATTTTAAATTCTTTTCCAATTCATTTATTAATTGCTTTTACGAGAACTAATGCAATTTGGAAGTGCTGCTTTTGAAGAGAATGTTCTTTGCAGGTTTATTTATTTTTGACTCTTAGGAAATCTTTTTAAATTTACAGTTGGACCTCGTTTTATGTCTACAAATCAATCTAAAATAATTGAGAGAGGTTCTGAAACAACGTTTAAATGTGAGGTAAATAAAAAGTCAAAACATCTAATATGATTATCCTTTATACCTCTTTTCCTAATAGTATTTCTGTTAAATTAAGTCCCTATAATGCATATTATATTAGGGTAAACCTCACGTGCATTCGGGGGGTTAGAGTGTTGGGCTTCGGCGTTTACCGTGGTAGAGCCTTCTGGGTTCGGGTCAAAGTTGTTTAAAATTATAATATATATATTTTTCTAGGTTCTCGGCAATCAACCGCCTATTATTCGTTGGTATCATGGAAAGGAATAAGAGAAACCAATTCAAAAAGGAGCAAAGTGTGTAAAACTAGAAAATTTAATAACTGAAATTTCTTGCTTTAGTTTAACTATCAAAAATGCGCAAGATTTGGAGGAAGGAGAATTAAGGTAGCTTTTTGGAGTTTACAATCCAAATAAAATATTTTTAATTTTAGTGTATTGCCGAGGAAGATTTTCCTTCAAAAACGTTGCAGCATCAATTATATTTAAATGGAACTCCAAAAGTCAGATTTACAGAATATATACTTTTTGAAAATGAAAAGGCTATTACTTTAATCTGTGAGGTAAACAATGAATTTTTTAAAGTTTGTATTTTTGACTGGGATAATTATTTAATTCAACAGTTTTTTTAAATGTTTTTTAAGAAACTATAAGAGGAAATATGTAGAATTTTTTTGAGAATCCCATGTCTACTCTGATTTTATTTAAATTTTATTTTTTTCTCAGCGTGGAGGAAACTTATTACTGCTTAATCTGGAACTAAAGAAGGGATTGTTGATGAAAATGCTTCTGCTCCTTTAATTTCGGTAAAATTAAAAATAAATTAAATTTATGAATTTTAATAAAAAATTCAGAATGTAATTTTAAAAATTTTTTTAAAGAATTTTTAGATAATAATGTTCAGTTTCTCTTTTGAAAGATCATTAAATTGATAGTAAAGCTAAATATGTCCCCGACAAATTTTAGTTATATAAATTCCTAAACCTTTTGTCTTAAAAATACATCAGAATAAAAGGCTTAGGAATTTATATAAATAAAATTTGTCTGGGACATATTTAGCTTTACTATCAATTTAATGATCTTTCAAAAGAGAAACTGAACATTACCATTTAAAACTAAGCTCATAAATTACATAGTCATTGCCTTTTTTACTTATTATAAAAATTATTCTAAACTTTAAATTTTTATATAAATTAACGTGCTTTTAGTTATAAATTTTAAACTACTTTAATATTTTTATAAATTTTGTAATTTAGTAAATCAAATAAAAATTTTTCTAAACTTTTAAATTTTTATATAAGTTAATTTTCTTTTAAATTATAAATTTTAAAGTAATTTAATAATTTATTTAAATTTAGTAAATCTTAAAAAAATGTCTACAACTAATAATGATAAAAAGAGAAAAACTACAACTTCATCCTCCGCTCCGAAAAGACAAAATTTAATGCAACAGTCACCAATCCCATACACACCTTATAGAGAACCAAGACCAGCTAATCAACAACTTATTTCTCAAAATACATTGCCAATGCCACAACCAATTACACCAAATTCAACCCAAGTAATTAATGCAGGAAATATACAGACTACTCCAAATATACAACAACAACAACAAGACCAACCAAGTGTCACAGAAGAACAGGCTTTGCTTAAAGAAGTAAGTCATTACAAGAAAAAATTTCTGATGCATTATTTTTAAAAATTATAATCGGATCAACCGTTTATAAAAATAATAATAATTAGGAAAATATTATTTAAAAATTTTTTTAATGTTAGATAGCTGAGAAAAGAAAGGCAAGAGCTACAAAGACCAAACCAGAGAATATTCATCTGATCAAACCGTTTGATGAAATATCCAAATGTACAAATGCGGATCTATTATTTTTGAATTGGTCAAAGGACCATATTTTTGAGTAATAATTTTTATAAGAAAAAAATATTCTATTTTAATTTTAAGAGAACTGGTTGGTATTGTGTGTTATGTTAAAAGAGGCTTAACGAGCAAGAATAAGTGGGACCGTACCGACATTTTAATCCAGGTTGGAAAACCCGATGAGCGTGAGAAAGTGGCTGTTTTTGGATGGGGAGCACAAGCAGCGGTACTCGAAGGAGCTGAATTAAATAAAGTAATTTAAAAAAATTTTTTAATATTTTAAAAAATTTCTAAAATAATCATAATAAATAATTTTTATTTTAGTTCATTCGATTGACCAACATGATAGTTGTTCCTGAAGACATCGGAAAAAGAGACACATGGAATGGATCGATAGAATTTAAATTAAAATTTACAAGAAGCTCAACTTTAACAATTGTCGAACAAGGGCAAAGTGCGGTGTCTGAGCAGAATACAAATATGATAGGTAGTTTAAAATTTTAAGTTTTTTGGGAAAAAAATATGAGTGAAATTTTATAGTAATCGAGAATTTTATTTAAGTAATCGAAAATTTTATTTAAATTTTAATTTCAAAAAAATTGTATTTAAATTTTTATTTAAAAAAATATTATTTAGAGGAAGGTCCTTCAACATCTGCAACAATTCAAAATCCGCATGTTGGTAATGTTCAGAACTATTCTTATGCCAGCAATGCAACTTCTGCTGTAGAAAGAGATGTTGAATATGTGAGTATTTATAAATCATAAGGTTTAATGTTTTACATGTACCGTTTGATTAAAACTTTATTTAAAAAATACTACATTAAAAGTGAATTGTTATTAATTTAAAATTTAATAAAAACTTTTATTACATTTTCAAGGATTTTGAAGATTTATGATTTGCTTATTTACTAAAAAGAAGAAAAGAACAAGTTAAAATTGAATTTATTTAGAAATTAAAATAAAATTGAGTGAAACTTATTAAAAATTTTTCATTAATCTTTAACTTTCGATTAATTTGCTTTTATGTTTGCAAAAATAAAAATTTTACGCATGTTTATTATTTGAACTGAAATAGAAATTTGAAAAAAAAAATTTTTAAAAATTTAAAAAATTGTCTTGAGAAAATTTTTTTTTGAAATTGTCTATTAAGTAAAATGAAATAGAGATTTGAAAAAAGTTAAAAAATTTTGAAAATTGTTTGAAAAAATTTTTTTTAATTTTTGAAAAAATTTGAATTTGTTTATTAATTAAAATGATATAGAGATGTGAAAAAATCTTAAAAAATTTGAAACTTGCTTGAAAAAATTTTTTTGAATTTGGTTATTAACTAAATGAAATAGAGAGTGGAAAAAAATTAAAAAAAAATTTTTTAAAAATTTTGTTAATGATTTGAAAAAATTTTTAAAACTGAAAAAAATTTTTGAAAAAAATTTTTTTAAAATAATTTTTAAAAATGATTTGAAAAAAAATTTTTAATTGTTCATTATTTAAAATGAAATTGAAAAAAAAGGATTTGAAAAAAAATCTAAAAAAATGATATTGTTTATTATTAAAAATGAATCAAAATTTGAAAAAAAAAGCTTTAAAATATTTAAAAATTTTTATAGTATTTTGATAAAATAAAACTTAATTTTGAATTAAATATATCATTATAAAAATATCTATTTTCATTCTTGTCTAAAATAAAAATTTTATATTTTATGAAATGGAATTTGATTATTCTTGTTAGTTTTTTAAAAAATAAAATTTTAATGCTGAACGTGTATTATTTAAAATAAAATAGAAATTTGAAGAAGGAAAAAAAATCTAAAAAAATTTTGAACATTGATTAGAAAAATTTTTTAAAAATTTTGAAAAAAAAATAATTTGAAATGTTATCATTAAAGATGGAAAAGAAATTTAAAAAAAAAAAGCTTAAAAATTTTTTTATTAGTTCTATCAGTATTTCGATAAAATAAAACTGAATTTTGAATTAAATAATCATAATAAAAAATATTGGATTGCATTCTTATCCAGAATAAAATATTTTTATTTTATGAAATTGAATTTAAAATGCATGATTCAAATATTCTTTTTTTTGGTTTTTGATAAATAAATCTGACTGTGGGACTGGGCCGTTTTGGCGCGGGGCCGTTTTGGCGCGAGCTTATAAGATACCGAGTTGTTTATCAAAAATGATAAAATTTCGCAATAATAACTCTCGTGCCTTTATCTAAGTTCTCCAAATATTTCAGAATTTTTGATCGAGAATTTCAGAAATTGTGGCCAAAAATGTTGATTTTCTGCAAAATGCCTAATTTTTCGAGGTCTATCGACTATAACTTCGGAAATATTGGATGAAAAATTCTGAAATTTCTGGATGAAGTAGTCAAGGATGTTAAAGAAATTTGAGAAAAATTTTATAAATTTAGGTCTTGCCTAAGTGCCACTTTTTTGTTATCGCGCCAAAACGGCCCGGCGCCAAAACGACCCCAACATCTGACTGTATAAATATTATTAATTTAAATAAATTTTTGAATAATTGGCATGAAATTGAATTTAAAAAATTGAATTTGCATTTATATGAACAAATATTCTAGTATCTTGTTTAAATTTTGTTTTTGTTTAAAATTGAATAAGCTTACTGATAACGAATTATTACAAATACAATAATATTATTGTTTTCGCAATAATTTTTTTAATGAAATTTTTTTAAATGATATATCAATAAATTAGAATAAAAATTCGAATTTAATCAAAAGAAATCAAACGGTACATGATATTTCAAAATTTAGGGGGATTTAAATTAATTATTAGTATTTACTCTTTTAATTACTCTGATAGGGATACGTGAAAAACGTTAGATATTTTTACCTACACTCTAAAATAAATACTCACTGGCTTTTTTTTTTTTTTAAAAAAAAAAAAGCTAGGGGGGCCTTTTTTTTGTAGGAAGTAGTGTCACCTTCTCCTGAATTGTCACAACAGTCGCTCCATGCCGAATCAAATCCACAAGTAAATTTTATTCTTTTTTTACTATTTTTAACAAAAAATATAATAGCGATTATATGGTAATCCTGGACATACTCCCCCAGCTCCAGGATTTGTAAGTTATGTAGTACCATCAGAAGATCCTGATGCAATTTATTTTCGCGGAGAACGCCACATTCATGATATTGATTTACCAAAAAAAAGGACTCGATGGAAGAGTGCGAAATATACTATTATCCTCTCGTGTGCAACTGGCAGAAACATATAAATCTAAAGAAGAGGATCCTCTTTGCGGAGTATGTGTACGTGACTTTATGCCGAAACAAAGCGTAATTTTTTTACCATGTTCCCATAAATTGCACAAAACGTGTTTTTGGGATTTATCCCGTTTTTATAGACATTGTCCTACTTGTAAATACGATATGGGTCGGGGCCTGCAAATTCCAGAGTAGGGTATAACTGATTTCTAGTCAATTAAATTATAAAATGGGAGTAGAACATTAAAAATTAGAAAGTTCTCATTTTGCAACTTAATTGACTAAAAATCTTTTGTGCTCTACTCTGGAATTTGGAGGCTATACACGTCGGATTACTTGTTTTTGAAAATTTAATATTTTGGACACGTACTAGACAAGTATCCCGACGTGTAACAGTTTCCCCGCACGTCAAAGAATCAAGTTTTTTTTCTGAGTGGATTCTTTGACGTGCGGGGAAATTTTTTTGTATTTTTTATATAATTAATAATAATAACCACACCACAATTAAAAAAATATATAATGAGTATTTTTTATATAATTAATAATAATAGCAACACCACAATTTGTAAAAAAAATTAATGAGTATTTTTTTATAAAAAAAAAATGACCAAATTTTTAAAACTTTATATAAATTGAGTTGAATATAACATTAATCAAAAAATAGAATTAGGTCATTTTTTAATTTAAAATTTAATTTTTAATTACCACTTAAAATTTGGTATTGATATTATGTGTACATAAATCTAAATCTATCATTTTAATTTTAAAATCTATTTTATTAAGCAATTTTTTTCCTGCCTTTTTTAAATTATTTTTTAAAATAATCTTTATTAAAATTATTTATTAATGGCAATATATTTGTTTGACAATGAAAGTATTTTGTTTGTCAAGTGCTATATATTTTGAGTCTGGCACTGAGCTTAATTTTTGTTTGTTTCACTTATATGCTTGATTGCTTCTGCTTCTTTATAATTTTGTAAACTAATCTTTATTATTCTGAAGCATTTTTGCTTCTAATTTCTGAAATAATTTTTATTATTCTGAAGAAATCAGAAATTACACCGAGACTCAAAATAAATAGTACTTGAAAAAATAATTTCCGTGCCAAACAAATTTATTTTCTTTATTAATTATGCCTTTATTAAGCTTATATTCTATTTTGCCTTTGTAAATTTTTTTGAATATATTTAACATCAACATATCTCTAATTATTTTTTTAGGTATTTTTTTTTGAATTAGAGATATGTTTTATAATATTTTCAATAATTATATAATTTTCAATTTATTATGAATAAATTTTTTTTATTATTCCTTCATTAATTTTTTTTAAGTTGAGTTTATTAGGTTTGTAGGTTTATTCTGTATGGTTGTTGTTTTCGTCTGCATCTTTTAAATTCCAATCTTGTTTTAGTGTATATATGGTGTAATATCTATACTAACATGTATAGAATATTATTGACTGTTTTAGTGAATGATATTAATTTTTGGTTCCTACCTAAGATCTCGTTTATAATTTCCCTGCTAATAGCTGTACGCGGCTTACTAAAATTAAATTTGTTCATTATAGTAAACTATATTTATTTAAATTTAGATTGAAAACATGAGAAACTACTTTGTTATTGAAAGAATTGAGCCAATTGCCTCACGATCACGCAACACGCGCGGGGAGATTGCCCATATTAGATTTAACAACTTAGCCGATCACCCGCGACCAGATTTGGCTCTCACAAGCCTAATTGAACAACTTTTGGATCGGGTGCTCACCGGAAGACCAGCACCACTTCGTGTTGGTCTTCAGGTGCAGCCACCGAATTTCCATCACCCGTTTACGGTACCTCTTCGCCCACCTGCCCAAAATAATCCTGCCGCATTGGCCGCAGCAATTGAACGACTGAACGAAATCTCTGCCGCTGGCATAGATTTGTTAAGTGGGACAACAACAACAAAATTCATCGCTGTTTGGCCTTTGACTGGACAACGTACAAACAATCCAGCAACTCAATCTGGTAGGTTCATACTAGTCT